CGACAAGTCAACCCACGGATCTTCCTCTAGGTGCAATCCAGCATGGCTCACATTGACCCCTTTTTGGCCCACAAATCGGAACCCAGGGAGTCCCGGCGCATGGTCTTGATGGTCACCACGTCCGGCTGGACCCTCGCAGCCTGCCAGAAAAGATTCGGCCAAGGTCACGAGGCCAAAAGCAACATGGGCCACCCAACTGAATGGGTTTCCCTGGTAGATGATTAAACCACCAGGTAAACCAGGAATCGCCATGGATTTTCGACCAAAACAACCAAAAAGGACACAGGCACCTTCCTTTTTGTGATTCCCCGATTCTTGCTGGATTGGCCGCTGGGCTTTCTTCAAGGGCTTGCTTCAAGCCGGAATGTTTCAGGTTTTTTGGGCACTCTGGGGTGTTTCAACTGGGGACTTGGTGATGACACGGGATTTTGGTGAGTAAACTACGTTTCCTAGCGGACATTTGCTGAGCTTACCCAATGACATTCCCTCGAGTGCAGCACATGACGGTGAATGTAGACCGTTGCTCAAACACAGAACGCCATTCTAAACCCCCCAGTCGCAAAAGTATCTATTCCCAAACAACATCACATTGAGAGGAATCTTCTCTATTGTGACCCCTTTGTTGGGCTCCATCTTAATTGCAGAAAAAATGTTGCCCGATGGAATGAACGCAAAAAGAAGCACAGGAGACAATTCAGGGGCAACAATGATCTGCATTGCATGCATCAATACATCCATGTGGGCAGCATGTTTCTTGTCGTTTTACCTCGGATCGGTGAGCGCCTTGAATTTTCTCCAAAATTCCATCACACGCTGGTTCTGGTTCTACCATGTCATCATTCAGAACTCCTGATAGCTGGTTGGCTCCCTCGTTAAAGGCACATTTGGATACCCCCCCAGCTCCGGCTCCCAGCCAGTGGTGTCGTGTCCATTTTGGACTGCTGGTTGACCACTTTGACGGGTTTGTTTCGCGCGCCTTCATCTGCCAGAAGAGCTCCTGACGGATTTTCCAAACCGGCAGGACATCCCACTTGGGAGTATGTGTTTGCAAGTATCCTTTTCAGGGCGGGCTTAAAGGGCAACCAAGAGGAAAACCACCTTCTTGCAGATCCTCTCTCACTCGCTCTCACACTCTCTCAATCTCTCTCGCTCTCTCTCACATGTCATGAGAGGCGCAGGACTTTCGCGGGGTCAGCAACAAATTTCGTGGTAGGCGCTGCGGTTTCCCAGGGTCATGTGCAGATACGATAGAAGAGGTAGGTAGATAGACAAAGAGACGGATGGACCGATAGATGGATTGATTGATCAGAGAGATTTGATTCATACGTAGATAGAAGTGGGTAAATAGATAGCAATAAAGAAAGATAGATATGGATAGATAGATAAATAAATGGAAAAATAGATCGATTTAGATACATAGATAGATCAATTGATTGATGGATAGCTAGATTAGATAGATAGATTAGATAGTTTGACGGATAGATCGATTAGATTAAATTAAATTACATTAGACTAGATAGAATAGGTAGATTAGATAGATACATTAGATAGATACGTAGATAGATAAATAGAAAGATTAGATTAGATTAGATTAGATTAGATTAGATTAGATAGATAGATAGATACATAGATCGGATAGACAAATAAATGGATAGATAGAGAGATACATAGATAGATAGATAGATAGATAGATTCGATTAGATTCGATTAGATTCGATTAGGTTCGATTAGGTTCGAATAGATTAATAGATAGATAGATATATAGATAGATAGATTAGATTAGATTAGATAGATAGACAGATACATAGATCGGATAGAAAAACTAGACCACGGTTGGCCCAAAAGCATAACATCGCAAGCGAGGTCGGCCCAACGCTGCAGGATGCGTTCTTTTTCCCTCCACGAAGCATTTGTGAAGCAAGCGCGAGACAGCACCAGGCAATGTGCTCTGCGCAAACTGGTCGGTGCAAGTTGGTCTGTGCAAGTTGCTCTGCGCAAGTTGCTCCGCGCAAGTTGCTCCGGCAAGTTGGTCCCTGCAAGTGGCTCCCTGCAAGTTGCTCTGTGCAAATTGCGCTCCCTGCAAGTTGCTCTGTGCAAGCTGCTCTGTGCAAGTTGCTCTGTGCAAGTTGCTCTGCGTAAGTTGCTCTGCGCAAGTTGCTCTAGGCAAGGCGCTCTGCGCAAACTGGTCAAGTTGGTGCAACTTGCTTGTTGCTCTGCGCAAGTTGCTTTAAAATGCAAGTTGCATCTTGCGACGCCCGCCCGCGGACCAGGGAGGAATCGAACCCGCGACCCGCCGGTTCCGGGAGCAGGCGCGCGAACCACGAGACAACTCCCGAGGACCAGTTCGAACAACAACAGTCGCAAAAACCTCGAGTTTTTGCACCTCGACCACGCCGATTCCCGCAGAGCGTTGCACGGGCACCTTCCACGCCAGAGGGTCGCGCGGGAACTTTAGAAATCGCAAAAAACCTCGAGTTTTTGCACCTCGACCACGCCGATCCCCGCAGAGGGTCGCGCGGGAACTTTAGAAATCGCAAAAAACCTCGAGTTTTTGCACCTCGACCACGCCGATCCCCGCAGAGGGTCGCGCGAGCACCGCAGAAATCGCAAAAAACCTCGAGTTTTTGCACCTCGACCACGCCGATCCCCGCAGAGGGTCGATTTTCGTGTAGTGTCGTCGGCACTACCCCGCCGCCCCAAGAAGAGATTTTAACTCCTCGCAAGTCAATTGCACTTGGCACTTGCAACTTGCACTTGCAACTTGCACTTGACTCCTGCACTTGCAACTTGCACTTGACTCCACGCACTTGCAACTTGCACCTGACTCCTTGCACTTGCAACTTGCACTTGACTCCTTGCACTTGC